TCCTAAGGAAATTCCTCATGAGAAATTCTATATCAGTATCTATATGCCACAAAGTTAAGTGGTCATCAGAAAAAAGCATTTAAACAGCCTTTAACACAACATAGCCATTCAAAGCTGGAAAGCAGAAATCAGATTACAAATAGCACTAGCAAGAAGCAGTCTTATCACAGAGCTTTTTTAAGATGAAATAAACCAGGATTACAGCACAAGCACACAACACAACCCACTCACAGAATGGCTTGGTTTGGAAAGGACCTCAAGGATTAAGTTTCAACCCTGCACCACATGTGGGGCCACCAACCTCCAGATCTGGTAGAACCAGACCAGGCTGCCCAGGGCCACAACCAATCTGGCCTTGAACACCTCCAGGGATGGGGCATCCACAGCCTCTCTGGGCAGCCTGTTCCAGCACCTCACCACTCACTCTATGGTGAGCTTCCACCTGATATTCAATCTAAATCTTCCCTTCTTGAATGTAAAACCATTCCCTTGCCCTATCACTGGCTACCCATGAAAAATATTGATTCCCTCCTTTTTCTAATCTCTTTTAAATATGGGGACCAATATGGGCTCTCAGTTCATTCAGATTTACCTACTCAGTCTGTAGTCATAGATTCCAATAGAGAATCTGGTTTGCACATGAAAAAACCAACAAAGGTTGCCTTCTATTACAAGACAGCAGGCCAAGACTAACTCTATAGCAACAATATGTAATGCTTCTGAGGTCTACTGCTATCCAATAGATAACCGAATTAACTCAAAGAAACCCCACCAACATTTCCTTGGAGCACTACAAGCACTCACTGCTTAGCAAGACTACCTTTTTCCAGTTTGTATACCAAGTATTTCAGCTGCCTTACTGTGGATTTTGTTTCAAAAATTGCAACTTAGACTTCAAAATTGAAAATTTAGAGCTTTCAACTTCTGAGCAGGCTCTAAGAACATCTTCTCATTAGCCACACATACTTAGTAAAATAGAATACCCCCATGCCCTCTCCTGAGCCAGCGCACTTAAATCTGCAAGGCTGTGTACCTTAAAAGCTACTAGCACCTAAAAGCTAATCAGCTGGTACAGATACTCTGTAAAGGCAACAACAGAATTCACTCCTCCTGTCACAGAACAGTCCTGTTTCCTAATACCACTCTGTGAGCAATGCTGCACAAATGGGTGGGAAATGACAATCTAAACCTGATTATTTCTGAAAAGGTTGCTTAGTCTTACAAGAAACAAGTCCTGCTAGAATCCTCTTTGTTCAACATAATCTTCATATTCCATGACATAAGATTAAGTTACTTAAGCAGGCAATGAAGAGAAACGCACTGAATCAAGAAATGAGTCAATCTTTAATGGGTAAACAACCATCACAATACTTTTAGAGTACTCAGTGTTCAGACCTTAACACCTCAAAATAACATTAAATTGCACTTCAACAAGCTTAGAAGTGTTCTTGCACACCAGAAGCAAAAAATGATACTTGGTATCCTTGCTTTTCATTCATCCTAAAATCTGTGATTGCTCTGACACTGACAGATATAAAGCCTACCACTTGCTTCCACCCTGTCCATACAAATTTTATAATCACTTCTTTTAGGTAGAACAACTCAGACCTACTTCATGAAACATTACAAATATAAAATCTGCCAAAATTTAAATAGCAATCAAGTCAATATTATATATTCCATTATGATGTTAGAATCTACTTTTACTTATTTTGCATTCCTTTTTTCATGAGTTTAATTACCATGCTGCAAAAGTGTTCTTCAATAACAAACATACAGAAACAGAACAGAGCTCAGGACTATTCCAAAACTGTATACTGCATATTAAATAGAGTTCTCCCCAGGTAGGAGCTGGACAAACCTCTGTTTCCACCTTAACTGATTCTGAACAAACCAGATTATCTCTCCCTCTACTTGAGGTAAGTTACTTGTCCCAGCGCAGTTGTTGCTGCTTCCTCATGTAGGAGTTTCACACCTCCATACCTACAACATAATTGATCAATATTTCATCCTCTGCAACCATTATAATCCCTTGTATGCTATCCTTACTCCTATTAACATTGCCTTATTGGATCTACTAAAACACACCTCTCTCCACCATTCCAACAAGAATTTCTAGACTACACTGTCCTTTTCCCCTTGATGTACATAAAAGGCATTTCATTGTTTTCTGGAACTCACCTCAACAACTTACTGAAAGAGCAGTGTTTACTAATGCAGCTCTATCTGTAATCAAAAATCCACAAGTTGTTTCAGATTCCACACGCATTCTCTCCTTTCCTTCCTATTTGAGGGGGTAATTTCTCTAAGGAATTGCAGATCAAATCATCACCTCTGACTGTCAAAGTGATTTCATAAAAATTTGGTTTTATACTGTAGCTTTTCCACTAGGTTTTTTTGCTGGTGCTCTTTCCAATTCTGCCTTTTGCAGGTACTAACAGCACTGACCAATGAGAAAAAAGAACAGTGATCAAATACAATCAGCAGTTTTGGGTTCTGTCAACACCTCATCATACTTCAGGTGTGCTCACACAAGATGACACAAGCATCCTCAAAAGCCACATTCACTGGCGTAGACTTTTCTCCCTTCATACTGCCTAACTGTCACAGGTAAGATAAGGAAAACTACTGGGGGGAATTTTAGGGGCAGGAAGAAAAGTTACCTAAGCAGTAAGATACTGACCAAAATCTGTCTTCTCCTGCTCCTGACTTCACAGTCCACAGGTCGCTTGTGCTTGAAAATTTCCCCTTCTGTCCACAGATCACACATCAAAACCCTCTGCTTCAAGAGCGTTATTTCAAGACAACATTCCAACTTTTGACAGATGTTCTGAAGAGTTATCGGTCAAGTTCACATATGCCAAAAGCAATCTGGGAGGACTGACATCTCATTTACACTCATTAAGATTAAAATAGTAAGCTGCCACATGACACAGCTCTCAACTTCATTGTTACAGCTATCTTCACATTTTTACACGCACAATTAGTTTGGCAAGGTTATATCAAGCCAGCAGCTCCAGCTTTCTCACCTCCAAGGAGCACAAGTCACCCCAACACCTGCTAGTGATGAGTTGTTACTTGGATTAGATGATCTATGTGGTCTTGCTCAACCTTTACAAATTCATGAAAGGGAGAGAGCAATGTGCTAGTGCAAGATATTTGCCAACTCTCTGAAAGATAAGTCTTCAAATCTTAGTTTTTGAGATATGGCACCTTATTAATATAGGAGACAATTTGCAACAAATACAAGCAAATAATAATAAAAGCGTCTGCTATTGATCGAGTACTCAAAAGTCTTACATATAGAACATTTAACTGTTGAAGGCACTTCAAAGCAGAAGCAGTTGGGTCTATAGCACTTCTTACAGTGTTCAGCCAAGTAGCTCCAGAAAACACAGCGTAAGGCAGCACATCTTGTTTCAGTTACTTTTGCAGCAGCGTGGTACAACAGCTCATGAACCATTAAAAAAATAAGACAGACACTGATACAGACACTTAACTCCACAGCCAAGACATATTCACTGTGCGCAACACAAGAGAAATTTCTGCATAAGCGCTTCAACTTTTAGACTACTTCTGAAAAAGCATTTCATCTTCTCTAAGGAGGAAGCATCCCAGTGATCTCGCCTGAGCAGTCTCCTAGCCATGCAGAACTCCTGTGCCGTGACGAAGCACTGCAGTTGTTATTCAGCCCAACAGAAAAGCATGCAAGCACATTAAGTCTCAACAAACTGTAACGGCCACAGGCTCACCGTCAAAGCAAGAAGCGCTGGCAAACTGCTTTCCTTCCTCTGAATCAACCCACGATACACTGAGACCCACCCTTCTGTCTTTCCCACAGCCGCCTTTCTTTAGGGATAGAGAGAACACATGCAATTTCCACATAGTTTCTTCAGCAAACACATGTTTTTAGGCTTAAATTAGTAATAATCATCTATTTCAGAAAGCTACACCATTGCCAGAGGGGGGAGACTATTCCATGCGAGAGCACCATCTCGCAGCAGCACTGCCCCAACTCCCTCCCTGAAAAAGCATTTCTCAGCTCCTCCACAGCTGCTTTATGATGGCACGACTTGCAGGCTGCTCGCAGTATTTTTATCACACCAACCTCCAGAGGCTTCTTCCTAACTTGTTCCTCTTTCCTTCAAGAGGAGAAGGACACGGCACATCCTATAATAAAACATCCTTGCCAACTCCTCATTGCCGCGTTGGGAATACACGGCAGAACGACGGTTCTCAATGTGCTTTTGAAGGAGAAGAAAAAAAAAAACGACCCCGCCGCTCCCACTGCCATAAAACCACACCGCGCACACGGGCTCCCATGCAATAAAAGAATAACCGCGCCGTGATTGAGTTCTCAACTTCCTCAGTGCCCGCAAAACGGGAGGGCACGGGGGGAGGGGGGATGTGAAAGGGGGATTCTAGAAGTACAGGGCCCCGCGGCACCTGCCCGGAGGGGATGAGCCGTACGCACACGGGATATCTGGAGCTGAGGGGATCGCCGACTCCAACTCCGGGTTGCACGCACCCAAGGAGGCCAGAAGCCACCTTACACCATAACCAGCACCGGCTTCACCGAGTGAAGGGGAAGCGACGCAAACCGGCAGCACGGGGAGACGAGAGGGCACCCCACGGACACCGACACCCCCGCGCCGCCCCTAGGATGACCGCCACCGTCCGCAGGCAGCGGGGAACGCACCGGGGCGGGAAGCGCCGCTCCGAACGGCGGCGCACAAACTTCCCCATCGCGCCCGGGGCAGCGCCGCCCGCGGAGCAGACAGCGCCGCAGAGAGGCTGCGGGCAACCGGGAGGGGGCCGCGGCCCGCGCGAGTAACGGTCCTCACACTGCCGGCGGGGCCCGTTTTCCCCCCGCCGGGATCCCGCACGAAGTTTCCCCCAACTCTCCCGTAGCCCCCGACCCCGGAGCGGCTCGGGTTTCCCCGCTCCTCCTCTCTCTCCGCCCCCCCCCCCCGCCTCGGGAAGGAAAAAGTTGCACTTACTGCAGCAGAAGCGGGAGAACACCAGTCCCAGCAGCCCCAACCCCGGGGGCAGCGCCGAACCCGCCCGGCGCCGTCTCCGCTGCCACCGCCACCACCGCGGGGAGGCACCGGCCGCTGGAAAAAGTTCCCCAGGACCGAGAGGAGCCGGCGAGACGCGAGAAGCGGCTCCGATCCCTGCCATACTCCAGGCTCGGCTGCTGAGTCGCTCCAGGTCCGGCCACCGCCTCCCCGCGCCGGGCGCGTTTAGCGGCGAGCAGCGAGCGCTGCGCCGCCCCCCGCCCTCCGGAGCGGGCCGCACCACCCCGCCGCGGGGACAGGGGGACCGGCGGGCTCCCACCTCCTCCCCCGCTTCCTTCCTCCCCGCCCCGGGGCAAATCGCCTCGCCCCACGCTTCCCGCCCCACTCGGAGACACCGCGAACCGCGCCCGTCTCAAGGGGGGTTCCCGTTAGCGATGCGGCGAGCGCCGGGAGCCGGTGGGAGGGGGTGAGGGCGGCCTCCCCCGGGGGGGTGTTGGTACGGCCCGCCCCGCCCCCTCCCTCGCCCCGCCCGCCCACCCGCCGCCGCCCCGAGCCGGGCCGGGGGCGCCGCGCTCCTCAGCGGGAGGGGCGGTTCTACTCGGCTCTTGCCCGCCTCCCCCGTCCCGCCCGGTCCGCTGGGAAAGGGGGAGGCTGTGCCGCGCGAACTGCCGGCTGCAGTCCGAGTGCCGCGCCTGAGGGTTGCGGTGCGGGCAGGCCGTGCGGGAAGGGAAGGGAAAGGCGCTTCCTTCCTTCCTTCCTTTCTTCCTTCATGGGTCGCCGGGGCGGGATCGCGCCACAACCCTCACGGTCCACCACAAGCCCTCAGCGTGTGCCCACAAGCGTTGGTCCTCTCGACACGAACTTCTCCCGGAGCACCGAGGGAGTCCTGAGGGGATGAACAGGCGGCAGCCTGGCAGAACGAGGGGTCCGGAGTGGAGGCCGAAGCCCCCCGGGGCTGGGCGGGAGATGGCACCGAGGAACGCCAAATATGGCCCTACGCAGCCCTCGAGGCCCTCGGGGAGTTTCTGTCACACAAGCGGCAGGGATCCTGGGCTGTGGCACGGTGCCCGACTGTCCCCTGGGTCAGGCTGGTGAGGCTGAGAAGGGGGAAAGGGCCTCGAGCCCCTGCCTGAGGTCCTCGGGGCCCGTCCCAGGGCTGGCTGCCACCGGGTCGGACGGCTGGAGGTGGCTCTTACAGGCAGCGCAGCTTCACTGCATCCCCACACCAAACTGAATGTGGGCGCAGTGTTGCTGAGTGCACCCCTAAGTCTGGTAGCCATGTGCAGGAGCTTGAAAGAATGAGGCTGAGAGTGGGGTCTTTACAATCTGGAAATGCTTTTTCATCTCAAATGCATTATCATTGCAAGAGTGCAAGAAAAGTACTGAATCGCCAATTATCCTATACCTGGTGCTAAGATATCCATTGGCAGTGGGTTCCCTATAAGCCCGAGAATCACAATCACAGAATAATAGGTGTTGGAAAGGACCTCTGGAGATGATCAAGTCATCTGCTTGATGCAGCATCCTTACAGGAAAGCATTTAGGTTTGTCTTGAATACACCTCCAGAGAAGGAGACCACCATACAGTGTAATATTCGATCATTTTCTTCAGTGGTGGGCACAAACTGCAGTTTCTCCCTGAGCCATGCATGGCTAAGCTTATCAGATGCTCACAAAGGAATGTTCATCCAGTCCACAGCTATGCAGAACGTTTGCCAATTAACTGCCCTCATTAGTTTGCAGCTGTGAAACAAAACCAAATTCAGGCAAAGAGTTACTGAGGCAAACTGTTAGCAGTGATGAATGTTGTACATTCGTCACCATTTTGGAGGGCAAACAAACATAACTGAGAGTACTCTCAGAGTTTTGTCAAATCAGTTTGATTCCCTATGTCCGGAGCTCAGCTCATATGAAATTCTTCTCAAACCAGTTTCACCTGGAACTGGGGTTCCAGTCTATGCAGGTGGTGCATAGGTAGGATCTTATCCAAAACTGTGTCAACAAGTTTCAGGGAAAGCTTGCTTAAAGAAAGAAGGAATATGCAGTGGAGTGGTCTTCCCACTGCTGAAGCTTCAAAGTCTGATCATTTCATCTGTTGCTGGAATCTTTGCCGTTTTGATTCCATGGAAACCAGTATATCCCTCCACGCCAATAAATCTGGATAAATATAATACTGAATTAATCATTAGAGTCTAATTTGTTTTTATACTTAGAGCCTTTTTACTTGGGAAAATTGATGAGCTATCTGCTATAGCAGAATAATTTACGTTAATACAGCTTTGCTGATATAACATTCCAGGTAGACGTATTAATTGTGCATAATTATTCCATTTCCCTGCATAGACAAGTCCTATATAGATAAATCCTTAAATCCCCCTTTATACTTAACAATCGAATCAAATTACATCTCATAATTACATTTACACCAAGTTCAAGGCACTCTTAAGCCGGGCAGGAAATATAATGGGGCCGTACTATAATTGAAAGTGCAACCCTTAAAATCCTATTTGTGGCAGCTATAATCTAATTGTCATCTGCTATATTATTTTCATTTCTACTCATTCCAAAGTAAGAAAAGGTATAAATTCCATTAAAGGGAAATGTTTTGAAGGGCTAACACGAAAATATGTGCATCTATTCACTGTGGCTAAGGAAGCAAATGCGGTTTGTCATATTTCAGCAGAACTGTGCCCAGACTGTAGGTAACTGCTGCTAGTGCCAGGTTCAGCGCAGTTGTAATCAGGCGTCCTGGGGACTTTGTGATAGGAAAGGAAATTTGACTTCATGACATCAAAGCTAAATTTGGCTCTCCGATGCTTAGAACACTCCTGAAGGTATGATGCTCCAAACAATTAATCCTGCATATTATTGAATAAATGCATATAGGACACACTGGCTCACTTTTTGTAATTCCATTGTTACTGGCATATTTTCTCATAAAGAAATGTTTTTTCCTGAGCTGGCAGCCGTCCTGTTCGAAAGGATCTTTGTGCTGCAGAGACACAAAGGACCAGACTCTCTTTCCAGCCCGCTTTCCCCCCTTCCCGTTCCCCTATCCCCACCATTGTACACCCACCTGCCCTTCCCCCCGTGAAGAAAAGCCCTTCCCCTTCATTTAGGCTGGGTTTTTGGCAAGGCTTCTCCTCTCTGTTCTTAACCCTTGTGGTCATTTGAAAACAAAGTTCTGAAGCAGTGTGAAATTAACTTATATGCATAACATTTGAAGTGACGGCACAAATTCCCGCTGGAATGAAGGGCCATTCACTTCAGTGGGAATCTGTAAATAGATTTGTAACAGAACCAATGCGCTTTTCTGAAAACTCTCGCTGCCATTCTCATGGGTGGAACCGGGCCTCCCTAGCAATGTTTCTGCACCACCACCCATTATGGCCTTTTAAAATAAAAATACAATGAAACAGCCCAACAGAAGTCCACAAGATGAGACATTTTGCCTGCTGCTGGGTAGAATGTCTGTGATTTGCTATCAGGTGCTTGTATTTCCACAGAGAGTGAGAACTGCATCTTTACCAAAGTTGGAGTCATCGTGTCTGTCCATGCAAAACTTCAGACGAGGTTAACAGTGCTGTGTGGAGACAGACGTCTGTCCAATTCCTGCTCCAGGAAGCCACGGAACTGCATCTCTGCGGGCATGATTGATGCCAGTTCCAGAAGGGTCAAAGGTGCAGGGAACGTGGGCTGCATATTTATCTGCACGCATCTCCCATTTCTCAGTGCTCTGGTCGTCCATGAACTTGTTTGGGAAGGGCTTAGAAGGGCTCCTTGCAATGCACAAAGTTTTGTTTATTGCTTTTGAAATGTGCTCTTAATAGTGCTGGGTATGCTTAGGAATCTTTGGGCAAAGGATACTCTATAACTACACTTCTTACTGAGAGATGACTAAAACTAGAAATAAATTCTAAAGTTGGATTATTCTTACTTTTTTTTTTTCTGCTTTCTGCATATAGTGTGATGCAGAATGGTTTGTTATGTCATCTCATAGAAAATTCAATCACAATATTTTGATTTAAATCATAAGCAAGCTTAGCCAAGAACAACATACATACAGTTGTATATGATGTTTACAAAATCCATTTGCCAAATATTTTATTAATTGAAGATGGCATTTAAATCTTGTACCTTTAAGGAGAAGTCTGAGAGACTGATTCCCTCTGTACTGCTGAGTGTGATTAAGAAAACTTCGGTTCTCCTGCACACAGAGCAACCCAGCTCTCATCTGTTAGTGCAAGACCTTTTCCATGTCTCGGCAGAGGCTGAGAGCTCATTCTTCATTTCACAACATAGTAAAGTAGGTCTCGACAGTAATTATCCCTAACCTTACGTTTCATATCCGTGGTCAGATGTACACATCATCCCCTCTTCAATTAAATGGAGAGCTCCGTTGTCTCAGCCAAGAGGTTTTAGACTCCCAGCCAAACAAGCAAATTCCTTATCCATTTCTGACAGGCAAAAAAAAAAAAAAAAAAAAAAAGTAAGCAAGGAAATAGTCCGGTTTGCAGTTACATCTCTCTGATTACCACTTACATCCCTGAGAAAGAGGACAGAAAACATAAGGATTCCTCTTGGAAGGACGCTTGCAAGCCAGACAATGCTTCCTCTGTTTTCTTTCTGCTCTGCTTCCCTTTACTGTAATCTCCTGCGCTCTTTCTGTGAGCCTGTTTTCGGTGCTTTCTCTCTTTTCATCTTTAACTATTTAGGTGTACTTACACAGATACGTACATGATATTTTACATTAATAAGTACAGAAATACCCCTTGATTAATTTGTAGCTGTGTAGACGAATGCACAGCTTGTGTATATCATTTTGAAACGATCACATTTCCTTCCAAGACATGACCAGCAGATATTTAAGATGATCAAAAAGAGAACGTGGGAAGTTTGTCACTCAAAGTAGTCCCGATGCTACGTGAGAGGATGCTTGCCATCCCTCTCAGTGTTTTGCTCGTGGCTCAAGGAATCTGCTTTCTTGCTGGGTCAAAAAGAGCAAAGATTAGTTCCTAGGGAAAAAAAAGTTTATCCCAGCGAGGTCACAATTTCATTGTGCATGTCGACCTTTCACAGTGATCTTCTCATTGTTTCTATTCACTGACATGGTCCCAGCTCCAGCAAGAACTTAGCTCTTAATTCAAGGAAAAAGCAGTTTTTGCATTCATTTTAATGGGATCTTTTATTCATTTTTAGTATCATTACTGTTACACCAGCTTTACTTAATTATGAGAGAAGAAGCAGGCTTACAATTCCCGAGAGAAATTTTCTGTGTTTTTTTTTTCTTCTTAGACTTAGCC